CCAGGGAATCTGATGCCCTCTTCTGACCTCCATGGATACCAGACTGCCCACTCACACGCACATGTACACACACACACACACACAGGCAAAGCACTTATATACATTTTTTAAAAAGGCATGGAAAGCAGTATACATACATGCCTGACCAGGCAAAGCAAGCGGAAATGAGGTGGTTGGCGTAGGTAAGCATCAGGTATCAGTGGTCCAAACTTCTAGAGATATAATCAACCAGAAGCACCAACACCAGGCGTCCCATGAAGCCTACTCACCCCTATAGGATACCAACACTTTCCTTCTTCAAGCTTGTGGGAAAATTCTACCTAGCCTCTCCTTTAAACTGGCTGTCATTACCAGAGAAATGACAATGAGATTTCACTGATGAGCAGTAGGACTCCAGTGGCCCTCCTGGGTGACACCCAAAAGTGGAAAACACCTGAAGACCCTCAAGACAACTGACATTCAAGAGCAATGCCACCAGGACAGGTCCTCTACACACGTCCTTGGTGTGGTTTGAGCAACCCCAAACTCGTCATTGGGCCTGATGTCTTACAACCAGATTTCCATTCTAGCAGCGTTAGTGAGTACCTCCATGTTTTGCATGACATTCTGAGTATTGTGCTTAATACCTTCAGGTTATATTAGTAACTCTTGTTAAATATTCTTTTCCTCCAAGATGCTAGGTAGTAGAGCCACTTGTGAAGGCACACACCGATAATCCCAGCACTTGGGAGGTAGAGGCAAGTAAGGCCAGTCTCACCTGACTCTCGGGAGATGGCTCAAACAGAAAATTGTGTGCTGCTCAAGTATGGAAACTTGGGTCCAGCATCCATGTAAAAAGTACACACAGCTGTAACACTGACACAGAGGCAGGAGGATCCCTGAGGCTCACTGCCTGGCCAGTCTTGTCCAATTAGTGAAATCCAGCTTTAATAAGACCTATCTCAAAAAAGAGTAAGGTGGAGAGCGATTAAGAGACACCCACATGAGCATGCACATGAACACTGACCCATGCATAAAATATACACACCAAAAAAGAAGTTGCTGGAAGGCTTGGAACCCAGGGCCTTGATAGGAGACACAAATACTCTTCCCACTGAGCTACATTCCCACTTCTAAGCATTTTCATTTAAAGGGCATATTCCCTTGTGACTGGAACTATAGGTCAGCAGCTAAGGGAATTGGCTGTTCTTCCAGAGGACCAGAATTTGATTCCCACCTCTCACAGGGAGGCTCACATCTATGTTAACTCCAGTCCCAGGAGACCTGAAGGTCTCTATGGCCTCTGCACACACACACACACTCAGGCAAAACACCCATACACATAAAAACAAATAAATGTAAATTCAAATGCCCTCTAAGACAGGTAGAGCATTAAATGGCTAATGTGCCAAGTTGAATTCATTTTAAGGAGGGGAAGGAGGAGCTCTTGGAAGATAGAAGACTGCTTAATAAAAAGGAAAGCTAAAGTTCAGAGATGCAAGAAACAAAGGACCAAGACAGAACCGTGCCTGTTTCTGCCATGGAATTCCAGGACTACATCTTCTTTATCCTCACCAAAACAAAGACACCCATTCCCCCTCCGTGGGAGACAACAGTCTTGGTTCTTTTACACAGGGTTGGCCTGCCTGCCTTTCACCAGCTCTAGGGGAGTATGCCCTGAACCAGTGCCTACTCGTTCCCCAACAATGGCAGGGCTTAGGGTTCAGGCAATTAGGCTCTTGGCAATGTCTCTGGAGCCTGCCAATAAACCTGAAAGAAACACCCTCAGCCCCTCTCCAGGATGGAGAAAGGAAACACACCGGGAGGGAGGGACAGTGAGGAAGAGGAAAAACTTTTTTCTAGACTGAATTCCACCCCTGACAACCAGGAAACTATAGTAATCTACAAAACCGCCATTGTAAAAAACACCCCGTGCTGCTCCAAATTCCTGGTTGTGCCTACTGGCACAGAACCATAGCTGCCACCTACCTTCATCATCATCCAGGGTGACAGAGGGCATCTGTTGGCACTAAGACCTGAATGGAAAGTAGTCATTAAGGGCCTATGACTTTCATGGCAAATAAAAGGCCCCAGAATCCTCCACCCTCTCCTGGGAGCCACAGCCAATACTTGTTATAGTTTTTAAGGCATTCCAGGGTGTTGCAGAATGATCCAGGCCTAGTGTCACCACCACCAGTTGAAATCTTAATCCAGGTCTTGGCTCCTGCAGAAAGGGGACCATTCCTTAAACATCCCTAGACTGGCACAGCTATCAGGCACCCAAACAGAAATTTCCTTTTCTCTGTAAATGAATAGTATTTCTTGTACATGACAATCTGAAAGGGATGGCTTCCCCAGTTAGGCACTTTTTACTAACTGCACCAGTCTGGATGCATCTCTGGACACACAAGGAGTGTGTCCATCATGCAGCAGGATGGAGGAGAACATAGTTTAATAGTAATTGCTGTTTCTGGATGCTTGCTAGAAGTCTAGTATTAAAGTACTCTATGGACATTCTGATTTAATTCTTCCTATGAGGCCTGTACTATTACCTCAATCAATAGATAAGAAGCTCAGTAGTTTGCCTTGTCACAATGAAGGTCTGATAAATACTTTAAGTGAATTGAAAGCTTCCACTCAATTAGAAGAACTGGTAATAAGAAGGATGACAGCCTTTCCATTGATGCCTAGCAGGCCACAAAGTCCTGATGCAAGCCAGTCCTCCTGGCAATGTGCTTTCTCTCTTAGAAGCAACAAACTAATCTCGAAAGTGCTCCAGGACATCCTTGAAGGAGCATTAGCTGACTCTGGAACCGGAAAGCCTTTGAGAATCCAACATGCTTCCACCACAGGCCTCTATGGAAAAGATGCATGGCTCCCAGCTCTTCCTATGGAGAGCCCAACAGGTGGAAAGTGGGTGATATCTGGAGTCCTTACTAGTTGAGCTGGGCGGCAGAAGACCTTCCACTTCCTTCCCACCACCCCCTCAGGCTGATCTCGGCCTCCCGCGGGGAGGCATGGGCACTGCAGCCAATCTTAGACCGGCCACTTGTTCCAGGGCTGAGAACCTGGCGGCTGGTCCAGGCAGAGGACAGGAACCCACCGAGACACCCTGCCCCTCCCACCGCAGCCCGCCAGCCTCCCATCTCACGCGCAGCAGGAAGAGCTGCAGAGGCGCGCCCAAAGCTTGCGGGTACCCTAGGCGTCCTGTCCCTCCCCAATTGCCGGGCTCTCCAGCTACAGGCCAGAGCTACAGGCTAATTTTTCACGTCCCCCCCCCCACCCACCCCGACCGCCTTTCTAGGTGACGCTACAGTCTGTGCGGTTCCTTTAAAGGCTGCGGGTTCCGTTCTTCTTCCCTTTTCCACTGGATGCCAAAATATGCAAATCCGGGGACCGGAATCAGCAGCCAAATAGAGCAGGAGAAGGGGCGCGGCCGGCGCGTCACCGGATCCGCTCCTTGTATGGCTCTTCCCGGCTTGGCCCGCTGCCCCACGACCCTCCCAGCAGCCGCGGAGGCCCCTCCCGCACCCAGCCAGGCTCACACCGCCGCCCACGCCCCTGACCGGCCGCTCCCCCCTCCAGGGATGGAGCCGGGGGCGGGAAGCGCTGCATGCCCTGATTCCGGCCGAAGCCCGGGACCGCTGCAGCGCGCAGTCTCCCCGCGCCGCGCGGGCGGAGGAGAACCCGGGGGCGCAATGCCTCTAGAGCACAGGAATGGGTAGCCTGGAGGGAGAGGCGGCGGGGGTGGCAGAGAAGGGGCTCACAGGCGGCGGGAATCCCTCCTTTCCTAAGAGCTAGAGAAGATCCGGGGGAGTCTGGGCCCTTCCCACCCTCTGTTCTCCACCAAACTGTGGGGAGGAGAGAAGGAGTGAGGTTGTCATCCACCCCCATCACAATACGCAGCTCCGGAGTTCCTCCTACACGTCCCCGGCCCCGCATGGACCTCCCACGGCGTGAGGCCCGGGGATCCTCTCTTCCTCCTTGTCAGCACTCCCCCTCCCCGTGAGAGATGCAAGTTCCCCCAACCCCGACTCTCCAGCGGGGGACGCGGGATTCACCGTGCCCATGCGGCCACTGAGGAGGGAATCCTCCCCCGCCAAGCCGGTGTGATTCGGGGTCGCGCCTCCATGCTCCCTCCCTCTCCTCCCCCTCGTTCTCAGCCAGGCTGCGCGCTTCAGGAGCAGGCCTCGGGGAACACATCACCCACCCCCGGGATCCGCTGTCGCTCGGGGAGGTGACAGCACCCCGGGTCGGCACAGGGTCCGCCCTTGACTGCGAGGCACCCTCAGGCAGCAATGAGGACAGCCCTTGGGGAGACCAGGAGCGTAGAGACTAGGGGAAACCGCCGCTGTGGCGACTTAGAAACTGTGGGTTTCGTATTTTCTTGCTGTAATTCAGCCGCAAGCCCTTCGCTGACTGCAGTAAACAGCGACTGTGCCCTGGCCTGCTGGGCCCTCCTGCCATCCTGTGGCCAAAGGGGTTTGCTTTAGAACCGTTAGGGAATTTATCTGAGACTTATTTGGTGCACGTGTTTTCTATACCCTAAACTTCACTCTTTGCTTTTCACCAAAAACTCATGTCCTCGCCCCCAAAGATGTGGGATTTCTGCCCCCTGTGCAATATATTCCTGGGTCACTTCTGTGCACAGCTGGGAGTCAGCGCGCGGTCAAGAGCCAAGGGAGGGGCCAGGGCTGTGGGCGGTGAATCAGAATGGTATAGGCAGGAAAGTTCTAGGTACTAGACCAAGGAGCCCTTAGACATTGGAACCCCCTCCCCAAAGGGAAGTACTTTCTCTCTCCACCCGAGTCCAAAGTAGGGTGCTGAAGGAAGGGTTGGGTTGAGGTGGGGGAACCTGGGTTGAAGCAGTCACCTCCCCCTTTCCCAATAATTCCCAGGCTCTTAAGGGACCTGTCGCCTAGTGTGTTGAACTTTGGGAGTACTGGAGGCCAGTTGCAAACAACTCCACCCTTCCACCCCCTAAATGTTGTCTCTAATGCAGACCTCAAATAAAAACCTACATGTTTGGTTGCTGGGTTTTCGACTGTGCACTGCGGAGCGCGCGCTTTGCATTCGGCTTCGTCCTTCTTTTCTTTCTAATCTTCTAATTGACTTTTTTCTTTTTTTCTTTTTTCTTTCTTTTTTTCTTCTCTTCTTTTTTTTTTTTTTTTTTAAGAACGGCGAGCGGTGCGGGCGCTGCACGTTGGCTGCGGCCCGCTTCCTGCTTTCTAATGTTCCATTGTGAGGAGCTTCCATTGTGACGTCGCGCCCCTTCGGCTGGGCTTTGTCTGTCCATATATGGGCAGCTACGTCACGGAGCTTTCCCGGGGCTCAGATAAATAGACTGGTGGAGTTCCCTGGCTGGGAGCTTTTGGGCAGCAGTGAGCTAGCTAGGAAGCGGCGGGGTTGGTGGTGGTGGTAGCAGCGGCAGCAGCAGCGGCAGAGGAGGTGGCGGCGGCAGCGGCGGCGGCGGCGGCTGTGGCAGATCGGGGGCCGGGGGGTCGGCGGGCGCGTGTCTGTTTGTGAGATCAATACTGAAGCCGCGTCTGACCCCCTGGAGCCTAGATCCCCCCCCAGCCCAGCCCCCATCCCACTCCCCGCACACGCCCCACCCCACCCCCACGACCCAGCGTCGCACCGCACCAGCTGAAGCACCCGAGAGGATTACCCTTTTTGCCCCTCTCCCACCCCCCAAAAAAAGAATAGATCCCCTCCCCTGGTCCACCCCTTCCCCTCTTCCCTCCCCCCTCCCTCCGAACTTTCCCTCTCGCATGCTTTTCCCCTGCACCACGGATCGCCTCTCGGATGCCGCTAGCCTGGAAGCTGCGTTAGGAACAGGCGGTGGCGGTGGCGGCGGCGGCGGTGGCGGCGGTAGCTCGGGACTGCTATGACCGGCAAACTCGCCGAGAAGCTGCCGGTGACCATGAGCAGTTTGCTAAACCAATTGCCTGACAATCTGTACCCTGAGGAGATCCCCAGCGCGCTCAACCTCTTCTCCGGCAGCAGCGACTCGGTAGCCCATTACAATCAGATGGCTACAGGTAAGGGTGGCGGTGAGGCGGCGAGGCAGCAAGGAAGGAAAGGGGGAGGAAGAGGAGGAGGGAGCGAGCTAGCGATGGATGCATAGATCGATGGATGCAGAAATGGATGGATGGAGAGACGGATGGAAAGATGGGGGGCGCGCTGGGAATTTTCAGGGGGGGCGAGTTGCTTTTCCCACCCACTCCTCCCGCCCTCCGAGATCGGGAAGGCTTGGTTGGCGACGCCACGGTTGAGGCTTCGGTTCTCCCGGGTGGGGGCAGCCGCCGATCGGAGGGAGGTAGGTACGAGCAGCTCCGGGGTTCTCCCTCCCCACGCAGGGGGCCCCGATCGTTGGGGCTGTGCACAAGGCGTGGTGCTATAGCCCCTTTCTCGGGAGGAGCTCAGCGTCTTTTTCACCCGCGCTCTCCCCCCCTTACTCCCTCAGCCTCCCACCCGGGATGGAGCCATGTGCGGCGTGGAGTCCCCGCGGTGGGAGAGGTACTGCGACGCTGCCTTTCCGGGCGTTCAGCAAAGCCATTGGGGGTGTGGGGACGGCGGGGAGAGGGAGGGGGCTCACCCACGGGGCGGGGGGAAAGGGTTTGCCACTGGGGGCGATCCTGGGACCCGGGAGCTTGGGAAAGGCAGCTGCTCCCGCTGTGGAGACACCGGCCGGTTTTCCGTCACTCTCCACTCATAGCGGGGTCTAGGCTTTTCCCCTCCAGCACGAGCCGAAAGCTCCTTCAGGCTGGGAGGAGACTGGGGCCCGGAAAGGCTCCCTTTACGGGCGGCACCCTTCTGCGCTCCGAGGACAAAAGCGTCGAAGCGCTCTGGGTCGGCCACCGGGGTTCGGCGCCCGTAGGGGGACATCGCTTGGGGCATGAAGGCGCCGCGTCTTGGAGTAGACAGGGCCAGGGGAAGAGGCCGAGTTGTGTGTGCTGGAGAGCGAGAGCCGGGCGCGCTTCGGGTCTGAAACTACCTGTAGCTGCAGCTACCTGTCCGCCCCACCTCGGGAAGAACAACAATGCTCTCTCGCGCGCGTGCGTGTATGTGTGTGGTACGTGAGTGTGTGCGCAGCGTGTGCGGTGTGTGTGCCGGAGCCACTCCACACCCCGATCCGTAGTATTTTGCTGTATCCAGGTTGCGCCAGGGAGCGCGGCACCGCCCGCTTTGCGCCGGCCTCAGCGTTCCTCTTACCCCACGCGCTGCGCACTCCAGCCGGCCGCACCCTCTACTCCTAGGCAAGGACCGGGGCGCCGTAGCCGGGAGCCGGCTCGGCTTCACTCACCCCTCCCCTCTCTCCCCCGCTCTCCGCAGAGAATGTGATGGACATCGGTCTGACCAACGAGAAGCCCAATCCGGAACTCTCTTATTCGGGCTCTTTCCAGCCAGCCCCCGGCAACAAGACCGTGACCTACTTGGGAAAGTTCGCTTTCGACTCTCCTTCCAACTGGTGCCAGGACAACATCATTAGCCTCATGAGTGCCGGCATCTTGGGGGTGCCCCCGGCCTCTGGGGCACTCAGTACGCAGACGTCCACGGCTAGCATGGTGCAGCCTCCGCAGGGCGACGTGGAGGCCATGTATCCGGCGCTGCCCCCCTATTCCAACTGCGGTGATCTCTACTCGGAGCCTGTGTCTTTCCACGACCCCCAGGGTAACCCTGGGCTCGCCTATTCTCCCCAGGATTACCAATCGGCCAAGCCGGCCTTGGACAGCAATCTTTTCCCCATGATTCCTGACTACAACCTGTACCATCACCCCAACGACATGGGCTCCATTCCGGAACACAAGCCTTTCCAGGGCATGGACCCCATCCGGGTCAACCCACCCCCTATTACCCCTCTGGAGACCATCAAGGCCTTCAAAGACAAGCAGATCCACCCGGGCTTCGGCAGCCTACCCCAGCCGCCACTCACTCTCAAGCCCATCCGGCCCCGCAAGTACCCGAATCGGCCTAGCAAGACCCCGCTCCACGAGCGGCCCCACGCGTGCCCGGCAGAGGGCTGCGACCGCCGCTTCAGCCGCTCGGACGAGCTGACCCGGCACCTGCGCATCCACACGGGCCACAAGCCCTTCCAGTGTCGGATCTGCATGCGGAGCTTCAGCCGCAGCGACCACCTCACCACTCACATCCGTACGCACACCGGGGAGAAGCCCTTCGCGTGCGAGTTCTGTGGGCGCAAGTTTGCGCGCAGCGATGAGCGCAAGCGCCACGCCAAGATCCACCTCAAGCAAAAAGAGAAGAAGTCGGAGAAAGGGGGTGCGCCCTCTGCATCCTCGGCGCCCACCGTGTCCTTGGCCCCTGTGGTCACCACTTGCGCCTGAGGATCGGGCACCCAGATCCCCTCTTTGCCCTACCAGTGCCTCCTGGCTGGTCGCCTGAAAGCAGCGGGGAAAGCCAGCCACTGAGGCGCAGGGGCCGCGCCCTGGTCTCGTCCTGGACGTGTGGCCCCCTTGCCTCCCCTTCGATGTCCCCCATTCCCACCCTTTCACACCGGCCGATGGTTGGGGGCTAGGGCTGGAGGCACTTTCTCTTTGCTGCCTCCCCCCCTTGCCAAGGCGTGGGGGCGGAAAGGTGGCGTCTAGCCCGCTTTGTTCAGTTAGGATCGCCTTGATCCAGGGGCCATTGGGCCAGGCCAAGGACCTGCGGGGGACTGAAGGCGGGGCCCATCCAAGCCCCGCCAGACCCAAGCACCTCACTGTTTCCCCCTCCAGTGTCTCCCTGTGTTCCCCCTCGAATACCCGAGAGGGGGAGGGGGTAAGGAGCGCACCAAAGCGCAGAGCTTGCTGCCCGCCGCACGCACGCGCGCTAGCGTGCGGTGATGCGCGTGAGTGTGTGCGTGCTCGCCTGTATGTGTGTGAGTGTGCGTGTGTATGTGTGTGTGCGCGCGCACGCGTGTGTGAGACTCTTGAGCTGAACTGGGCTGTGTCTACCCCCAAACTCTTCTTCACATAGGGTCCCCAAGCCATTGGGAGATGTCCCAGGCTGGGGACCTGCATGTGGCCGGAGGAGATGGTCTTCCATCTGCTCCGTACTAATGTTTCTTACAGAAATGCCTCGGACGCAGCTGCTGCGGTACTGCTGCCGCCGCCTCGGGTTTGGCCCCTCAAAGCCCCCTCCCTTTCCGAGCGCTTCCCTCTTAGGCCTCAGGGCAGTTTGATCTTTGGGGAGAAAGAGCCACCATCTCTTGAGCCTGCCTTTTTTAAAAATCATTTGCTCAGCCCCCCACTTTCCAAATCTGTGTTCTTGAGCTCGCCCTCTGCCTTGCCCAACCGTTGTCTCCTTTGCCCTCTCAGGTTCTCACTCGGTCTCTCGAGATCTTTACCCAGAGAGGCAGGCCTCCATCAACCACCCGGCTGTCTGTCTGTCACATACCCATCTCTCGTCCCCCATTCCTGGGAAAGCTGGCTCTAGTCATTTGCCCTCTGTGATCGCCAACACAACAGATAGAAGTGAAATGTATGTATACGATGTTGGTGTGTGTATGTAGATGTATGTGTGTGTTTCTTTATACACACATGTTTACATAACACACTATATTCCTAGCAAAATCAAATCTAAAGGCATTTGGTTATCCAGTGCAGTGCACTGGAATGAAGAGAATTCGTAGGCATGTACAGCTTTAAATGATTTATTTTTATGAAAATGTTAACCGATGAGATTATATCTACCTGTGTATGTGTATGTGAATATATGTGCACACATGTGTATATATGCATACACATTCTGCTCAAATTGTCCTCAAAATGAGATGGGGGTTTTTGCATTAATCTGTGTTGCTGAATGAGGTACATCTGTTTCATGCCCCCGTCACACCCTCTCCCTGCCCTACCTCACCTCTTCTCAGGAGCCCCTCTTCCCCAGCTGTCCCACCCAGCCCTTCCTCACACAGGGTGGCCCTTTTGAATTGGAGACAGAGAAGGGTGCTCTCTGACACAGCTTCCTTCACGGTCTTGACTGAATGTATACTGTTTCCTATTAGTGTCATTTCTCCTGTGGCCAGTGAGCTGCCCAGAGAGAGGGGACAAAGATCTGGAGTTTACAGAATGTCTGTTTTTAAAGTCACTTTATGCGTTTCCCACTTTTTTTTAATTAAAAAAAAGCACCGTCTTTTGGTGGTGGATAAATAATACTAAAAGGACTCTAGTGAAAGGAGAGGGAAAACTCAAAGAGTAGGGGATTGTGAATTTCCAGGTACTCGGGCTTTTTGTAGAAGGAGAAGTTTGCCAGGAGGGCCCATATTTTTTCAGCTGAAGGGTAAAATCTTTCTTTGCAGAGACAGTATTTTGCTGAATACTTTTTATAATGTGATGATTATT